ATTTACCTCAGCATAAGGAGTGCACTGATATCAATATGTAGTGATACGGCACCCACGTGGAGTTATTGGCTTTCTCTCTCCTTTGCCATTCAACCCTAACTGATATTATAGTCGTCCGCTTGAACAACCTGGCCTACAGAGCGAAGCCCATTGCAGTTGTCTTCCGCTCACCAGCAATCTCCTGCAGTTCTGAGTCCAGGGGGAAGATGTACGCTCGTCGAGTGACGAAANTTGCGTTCCTCAATGCAGTGCTTCTCGCCATTGCACTCTCTTGCAGAAACTGTTTCCCGCTAGATGCAGTTCAACCGGACGAGCAGCCTCTCACCAAGGAAGCACTAAGAAGAGAGCATCTTCGTGCTTCTCTCTGCGCCAGCTTCTACCTGCAGGAGCGGGGCCAACGGCTACCGCAGAACCCTGAACTCCGCAGGGAACGATGCGGTACAGGCGCATACAAACACCGCGACACCGCTAATCCCATGGCTGTGTACGGCCCCATCATAAGCCGAAGTGCATTTAGAGAGGCAAGATCCGCATATCCTATCAGTTTAGAGCATGACATACATAACATCTTCTGCTGTCTTTCGTTTGAATTAGCAATGCAAGGGAAATTTATGGGGGCCCCTTCAACTGATGTATTTGTTACCTTTTCCAGAATATCGCCGACTCAGGGGCCGACGTTCAAGAAAAGGTTTCTAGACTTATAGTTGCGTGGAATTCTGAATGCCTGAAAAGCCTTCCCCAAAAAGTACCAACTTCTTTACAGGCTCTTAGTGATCGGGAGGCTGTCCCTCTCCAGGTTTTTGGGGAAAAAGACAGCGCCTTGCAAGGGCGCAAAGTGTTGCTTCGCGGTGGAGTCTACATGCAAGACCGCGTTGGAGCGAGCGACTTGCAAGAAGATTCCGCCCGGAACATCGTTAGCGGACGCCATCTTGCTCTGTGGCTCTTCGCCCGTGCTCTGGGGCTACACGCCAGGCTAGGCTTGACGCTCACAGGCTGTATGGCCAACTGTCGAGATCAGCTTAGACTGAGATTTTTAGAAGGCCCATCTATGCGAGCCGCCTACTATGGAACACTTAACACAGACATATTACGCATTAGCAACGTGAGTGCAGCTTATATCGTGCAGATCTTCCCCAAAGCCATTCATCTTGTACTCAGTGCTTGAGCACTGCCAACCTTTGTGCAACGTCATAGGCACATACTAGTTTTCCAGGAAAGTATACCGACTTAAGATATCGAAAAGTTCGAATTTATTTGCAGCTGCCAGGTTAAAAGGCGATTGCAACACTTGCTGTTAGTGCTGTCCGCATTTGACCTGCAGTCTCATCTACCGCNTCCAGGATTCCTGTCGAGCATCAGGAAAGTTGCGGAGTCGTTATCTGAAGATTCTGATGAAGCAAAGGATGCCCTCGGAAAGATAATTACTGCTGCTGTAGCGTGTGTAGACAAAGTATCGGTAGACCGCAAGGTCGATGTTCAGAGATTAAAACTGCCATCATTGCCCGTCCAAGGACTCCAGAAAAAGAATTCAACTGAAGAACACCTACAAGAAATGCCGGGCGAAGTTCCACAGTCTCCCCAGATACTGCGGGCCCCTTCCGGCTTGCTTGGGGATCCGTTCCAAATGAGGCAATGGTATTTGCATTCATTCTTTGGAAACTTCACCCTGGGAGCGGATATGGCTTGGCAGAAGCTAGAATCTACCGCGAGTAAGCCACGGAGACAGGGCACAGCTCATGTGTGAGATTTTTGTCGAGCAGTGGCGCTCCAGACGGACTGTGCAATACCTAAGGTGCATTCCATACTAAGCAAACGATCCTTGAGACTGCCATCGTCCCGCTCTAACAATGAATTACCCAAACTCTGAGTTATGTGGAAGACAAACATGCGTAGGGTATTGTTTGATGCAGAGACGACTCCCGTGGTGCTCGCTGTGTTGGACACTGGATGCTACTTGCACCAAGACTTCATTGACGACTTTGACGTCGCAAGCAGCATATTCTGGGACAATCCTGGGGAGA